TCCTCTATTATTTTTTAATTGTTAAAATAAATAAATAAATATTAAATTAAAAAAATAAAATGAAAAATAAATACCCCAAGGGTATTATAGTCATTTCAATTTTCGAAGGGACTATTTTTACATACAAACTAGTCCAAAAGGATAATAAAGCCAAAAAAGTTGTGGTTTGAACTAAAACTCCAAAAAAAATATATAACACATAGACCATTTTTGCAATTTTGTCGTTACTATATTATCATATTAACATTAAAAAGAGTAAATTAAATATTTGGACCTGGTTTTAAAATTCGAAAGAAGCCGTCTCCCAAAGAGTTTTATTGCTATTACGATGCATGTGGTTTGAAGTTTGTTTTGATTTTGGTCCCTATCCAACCCAAATGATTTTTTTATTTTTGCTTGATATTTTTCTAATTTTATAAAACTTTATTATTTCTAATATTTTCATTAGTTTAAATTAATCAAAAGTTAATTATTATTAATCTTATTTTTTTATTTAGTAAGTAAAATGTTTTAAAATTAATAATTATTGTTTGTATTAATATATAACATGATTTGAAAGATGAAGCAAAAGATAGAGGGGGAGTAACGTGGCTCCAATGTGACAATGAAATTCGAAAGATGAAAAATCATATAACATATAGCTTTTTAGATTTCAAAACTTTTTACATTGCCTGTAAAAAATTTATAAATTGATATTGGTATGACCTATAAATCAGCTTTATAAAAAAGCTCTCATATCGTGGATGTTTAAGCTTTATGATTTGTTAAAAAACTTAACTGAAAATGCTATTATTGTGGATGAAGTATAGCTCAAGGTTTTCAAGAATAAGCCTAGTAAATGAAGCAATAATATTGTGCAACAATCTTGTCATATTGTAAGTAATAACAAAAATGAAATCCCCTGCTCTCTGCTTCATAGAGCTGTACCATAGGCATTGAAAGTGCATCATTAATTTCATATAGTTTACTATCGAGACACCAAACATATGATGCCAAAACTTGAGATTAACTCCAATTGTTTCAAACGTAAAGTGATATTTACAATGCAGAAACATGATATCATTCTTCCATCCGATTATCAGCAGATTCATGTTGAACGTTGACTTTGACCTTATGAGCCGATGTGGCAGTTGACTCTTTTGCACCAGGAGCTTTGACCATGTGGAGTTGCTCGTCATGTTCCTTTCTAGCCTCTCTTCTCACCATGAGGTTCATATTTTTGCTGTTTCATCAACAAAAATGCAGTTTCGTTTTTTTGTTAAAGCATACCTAACTTAATTGTACGCTGGAAATGATATAGAAGATTTGGTTCTTTAATCGGCTTATCCTTTG